CTTTAATAGAGATGTGTAGGAAGCCCTGTAGGCCAACTCCTACCCTGCGAAAACCCAACGTGATAGGAACCCCTTAAAGGAGTAGGGTTAGGGTTTAGGGTTTAGGGTTTAGGGTTTAGGGTTTAGAGTCCTTGCATGGATCAGATAGGGGCCTCCATAAATGCATCGTTTGGGAGACTGGGGTATAGTTGCATACAATCACCAACGTCTGTTCAGCATGATGATGATCACCATCATCCCCATCAGTATCATACGCATATACATATATAAGTATACATACATACTTACATACATACATACATACATACATACATACATACATACATACATACATACATATATACACATATACATATACATATACAAATGTATATACATACATACATATATATATATATATGTATAGAGTGGAGCTCGAAAAAAACTGTCCTGGAATTCTTGAAGCACCCTATTCACTTGGACCCTTGGCTGATTCTAAGACATGGCAAGAGACCCGACTCCCGACCTCTCTGGGCTTCAAGGAGGAGGCCATCCTCATGCGTTTGCATTCGGGGTGTTTAGGGTTTAGGGTTTAGGGTTTAGGGTTTAGGGTGTGCATTGAAGCATAAGCATCACAAAGAACGCTGAGCAACAATATTGCTAAATATTCGAAACGCTACACATGGGGATAATGTTGGGGCCTGAATAATTAGAACAGGGCTTTATAGGGCTATCAGGTTCCTTTAAAGGGTTCGGGCTGCTGATAGCGGTGCTGGGTTTCCAGCTTTATGCTATAGGGCATGAACAATCAAAGCACATGTTTGTTTGGTTTTATAATGCTTCAGAAAGCTCAGTGCCGAGTCCTTGACAAGGCATTTAACGAAACTGTATGGTGAGCGGCTTCTCATCGTATGTTGAGTTATCGTATGTGTATACCACTAAAATTGACCATGGTAATGACAATAAGACTAATCGTCATCATGACAATGCTGTAACTTAAAATTACAGCATTGTCATGATGACGACTAGTCTTATTGTTACTACTATGGTCGTTATTATTAGTAGTGGTAGTAGTAATCGTATGATCTCGTTCCTTTATCATTTATTTTGTCTTCTTATGGTTGCGCTGACCTTTACTTGTCCAGACGTGTAAGGTAAACTCCATGGGCTTAGATCTAAGGGTTTCTGGTATCTTTGTGACGGTCTTGGGGCTTTACTCTTTGGAATTAGTATTTACAGGGCTTCCGACTTGGGCCTTCATGCGATTAGGCTTTCCGGGATTCAGTAAGGTTTGGGGCTTAGGCCCAGGGAGGTTTAGACTTTTCTCGAGGTTTGGTTGGACGTGCGACCAGGACTAGGGGTCTGATTGTGGTGAAAAAACTGCGGACCCCTGGTTAATATAGGGGCCTTAATCATAAGAATAAGGTTTTTTGGGGGCCCATGATACTATCATGATAATGAGGAAGCCCCCAAAATCCCCTTATACTATAATTATAATGAGGAAGCCCCAAAATTACCGTTGGTGATTCTTCTGGCCCCTACATTAATATACCCCACTCCCTCAGTAGTGACCAAAATCTGGATTCCGATGTCAGGGCCCTTAGCCGCAAGGGTTTCACCAGCAAAGGGTCTACATTGCTCCCTAGCCAAAACTGGGGCTCCTTGCAACAAGGGGTCCACCTTGGAGCCCCAAGCTCCAATTGACTATGGGGCCTAAATTCTACAGGTTTAGGGTTTAGGGAGGGTTTAGGGTTTAGCGTTTAGGTTCAGGGTTTAGGGCAGGGCCTACAAATAATGTAGGGGCGCTGATCATTAGAATGGGGGGGGGGGATGCTATATAGGGTCTCTTTCAAGGCTCTATATGGGTTACTAAGGGTTGCCATGCGGGTTCACTGTCGAACTGTTTCCTGAATCGTTAGAACAGGGTTTGGGGGTATAGTATCTACCGCCATGTTTATAGTAGAAGTCCAAAAGTTAGAAACCCAATAGCCTCAGTCCTCAAGAGTAATCTATAGGGGATCCCAGCACTATTTGTCCTTAATCCGGTTTCCAACTTTTTGGGGTTTACTGTAAGGTGGCCTAGTCGACCATCTTGAACAAGCGGTGGTTCCTCGCATGCCGCGAACCCTGAACTCCAACCCCCAAAAAAAACCACAAATCCAAAACTTTGGACTGAAAACCCCTTAAACCCTAAACTCACTAAACCCTAAACAACTTAAAACCCAAACCCAGAACCAAGGATTCAAGACCCTCACAACCCCAAATCAAGCACAAACGGCATAGATTCCGGTCTTCACGCAGCTAAGATGCTGCTCCAGCAGGTCTTCATAGAGTTCACGGAATACCTCCGCGGCTCCCCCCGACGCTGATTCAAGTACGAGGCATCAGAGTATAGGAGAATTGCATATTTTTTCCTTTTCTGCCGGGGTTGAGAGTTTACGGCCAGTTTAGGGTATTCGGAATATCTTGTTAAGGGTACTGGTTTAGCTTACTAAAATCCCAAGCGGTCACGCATTAAAACCGCAAACAGTTCCAGCAGAAATGGGATTTGCATTCCCCCTGACGCCCCTTTAGCCTAAACAACAAAGAGCTTGAGAACCATCTGCACACCCCGAAGCGGCCTTAAAGCAACCCTTTAGAACCGAGCCCTGAAGAAGCCTGAAAGCCCGAACAAGAACCCTGGGTTTAGGGTTTAGGGGATGGGGGTTTAGGGGTCTAGGGGAGTTTGGGGGTTTAGGGGTTTAGGGTTTAGGGTTTAGGGTTTAGGGTTTAAGGCTGAACAGCTCAAAGACCCCAATAAGAGCCCCTCAGAACCCAGAAGGCCCTCAGAAAGAGCCCCTGAAAGCCCTCAAAGGCCCTCAGAAGGATCTATAGGGGTTCCTCTATAAGAGAGAATTATAAGGGATCTAAAAGGGTTCCTTTCAAGGGTTCCTGTAACCCTAACATCCCTTCAAGTAAGCCTTAAAGGAACTCAAATTTCCTTTAAAGGCATCTATAAGGGCTCCTGTAACCCTACTTAAAGGAACCCTAAACCCTAAACCCTAAACCCTAAACCTAAACCCTAAACTCGTAGGAGCTCTGGTAGCGCCTGCCTCGAACAAGACTGCGGTGGCATCGGTGGCCTCTCTCCGGCGTCCAGGATTCTCTTAAAGCGCGACAACGTGCTCAAATTCTTCAGTTTCGTCCTCGGCCTCTGTTGTTTTTGTTGACTCTGTTGCTTCTGATGCAATAGTTTGGGTAATTTCCGCATCAATACGTTCCACATCCACACCTTTCACTAAACGACTCTTCTGTCAAAACACACGTGCTGTCAAAGTCTCTGGCAAGTGCAGAGACAGTACTAAGCTTATTATTGTTAGGGCTTACCCATAGGCCCTAAAGTAGTTCCTTTTTTGGGTTCGTATATAGTATCCTATAAGGTCATCCCAAAAAGGAACTACTATGGGGCCTATGGGTAGGAAAGCTTAGGGTTTAGAGCTGTTTTGGGGCTTAGCATCTTTCAGAGTTGATGTTAGGGCTTAAAGTGTTGTGCAGCTCTGTTAGAACCTCTTAGTTAAAGGAAACTACAGGTGGGGAGTTTAGGGTACATAAGGCTTCTATAAGGCTTCTATAATAAGGTATATAGACCTTCTGCAAGGCTCCTATAGCGGTAACTAACCACCTGAACATGTCCTAGACTTGGTGTTCTGCCGGAGTTCTTTGTGGGCTCGGTTCGAGTTCGGAGTGGAGATCTTTTGGAGTTCTTCACAGCGAAGGTGGGGCCGAAGTTTTATAAATTCTGATATGAGGGCCTTAATAATTAGAATAGGGCTTTGGGGCCCATTATACTATAAGTAGAACAAGGAACCCCCCCCCCCCTGAAAAAAAAAACAAAACAAATAATATTGGTAATTGTTTAGGCCCCTACATGAAACCCTAAACACCAAAAACCCAACACCCCTACATTAAGGCCTCACGAGCCAGACTAGGCTTTGGGGTATCTTGCTGTGTTACCATGATGTTAACTACTTAAGGAATCCCAAAGCACAGCATTAGCCCAATAGACCCAGAGAGCCTGATAAAGCCCTGCAAAACCCTATGAGCATCCTTATGGAAAACCCTGTGAGCCCCAAGACTTAAACCGGAACTAAAAGGCCTAAGCCCCAAACCCTAAAACCCTAAAAAACAAAAA